TAATCACTAAAGCCGCCTTGTCATACTTAAAAATAACTTCAAAAAGAAATGATAATTGAAATAATTTCAAATTGTTGGTGGCAAGTTCATTTCGCTCTTAAAAATTAATCAAGGCATATATTGACATGATCCAAAAAACAAAATGCTCAGGGGACATGGTTCTGAGAGTAAAATTATATTTCAGGAAAATTTACACACGGGAGGCACGTATAGCCGCCCATACTAAAATATGTTAATAAAAAGTTGGTAGGCAGTTCTTTTAGTTTCAAAGTAAATTAATTTTTCCAATTTTTAGCCGACCATACCAAAAGGTATGATAGGCTATTAAGATCGGCAAAAAAAAGTTTTTTTAATTTCACTTAAAATGAGTTACGAGGATGGTCTGAAAAGTTTCCGACCTCAACGTGAAGATGGCAGCACTCGTTGATAAAAGCTAGTGAATTTTCATTGTTCATCTGTTGACAGTTATTCACCAAAGTTTCAGCCATTTTGGATGCGCAGTTGTTATGTAATAGTCGTTTGAGTGGGTTGATGTCAGTGTTTTTGTGAAAATGGACAAAATCGAGCATCGATCTGTCATTAAATATCTAGTTTTGAAAGGCAATACGCCTACACAAATTAAACATGAGTTGGATTCTGTGTATGAGGACTCTGCACCATCATTTACCACAGTGAAATTTAGGGCAGCCGAATTTAAACGTGGCCGTAAGAGCTTGGGAGACAATGATCGTTCGGGACGTCCAAAAACTGTAACTACCGACGATAACATCGCCAAAGTTCACCAAATGGTGCTGGAAACCGCCGAATTAAAGTGAGAGAGATAACAGAGGTTATGAACATATCAAAAGAACGTGTTTGTCACGAGATTTGTTGCATGAGAAAGCTGTCCGCGCGTTGGGTGCCGCGTATGCTCGCGTTAGACCAAAAGCGTGTTCGTATGAACATTTCCAACGCTATGTTAGCGCAGTTTAGGCGCAATAATCCGAGTTTTGGCATCGATTAATTACTGTAGATTGGATACATCACTATACACCAGAAACAAAAATACAGTCCAAACAGTGGACGGCAATGGGAGAACCGGCTCCAAAAAAAGCAAAAACTGTTATTTCGGCTGGGAAAGTGATGGCGACTGTTTTTTGGGATAGTCATGGAGTTATTTTAATTGATTATCTTCAAAAAGGAAAAACCATCACAGGAGCATACTACGCATCATTACTTGACAAACTAAAAGCAGAACTTACGGAAAAACGGCCTCATTTACAGAAAAAGAAAATCCTGTTTCACCAAGATAACGCACCGTCTCACACCTCAGCGGTTGCCATGGCGAAAATCCACGAATTACGGTTTGAACTGCTTGACCATCCGCCTTACTCACCAGATCTAGCCCCTAGCGACTTCACTTACCTTACTCACCAGATCTAGCACTTAGCGGAACAAAAATTCCGTCATTTAAAAATTGCGCTCGGAAGACAGAGATTTTCGTCAAATGAAGAGGCAATCACCTTCGTGTACCACTATTTTGCAGAGAAAAACGCCGAGTACTATTTGGACGGGTTACAGAGATGGGAGCATCGCTGGGAAAAGTGTGTAGAGTTACAAGGGGACTATGTTGAAAAATAAAATAAAATATTCAGAAAAAATGTCTTGTATCTTTGTTAGGTCGGAAACTTTTCAGACCACCCTCGTATTTGGGTCATAAATGACCTAAATATAAAATATTTTCATGGTGTCTGTCTGTCTGTAACACGATATCCGTCTATAACACGATAACTCAAAAACCGCTGAACCGACTTTAACCAAATTTGGCAGAAAAATACTGTGGCACCCGAGAATCCGGCCATTACTTTTTGGTGGGGGTGGGGGGTTGGTAAGGGGGTATGGGAGGGGGTTAAAAATTTTAAAAAATCGTAACTCCAAAATTACAGTAGCTAGCGAAACGCGGTTTTCAAATTAAGATTAGGAATAATATTTGCAACAAAATTTGTAATAACATTAAAATCAGTCAAAGTCGCAGTTTTTGAGATATTAACATATTTTAGTATGGGCGGCTATACGTGCCTCCCGGCTCCAATTTTTTTTTATCTCAAAAACTGCGACTTTGACTGATTTTAATGTTATTACAAATTTTGTTGCAAATATTATTCCTAATCTTATATTGAAAACCGCGTTTCGCTAGCTACTGTAATTTTGGTTTGTTTTAACCCCCTCCCATAGCCTCTTACCAACCCCCCACCCCCACCAAAAACTAATGGCCAGATTCTCGGGTGCCACAGTATTTTTGTGCCAAATTTGGTTAAAATCGGTTTAGCGGTTTTTGAGTTATCGTGTTACAGACGGACAGACAGACAGACAGACCGACAGACACCATGAAAATATTTTGTATTTAGGTCATTTATGACCCAAATAACTCATTTTGAGTAAAATTAAAAAAACTTTCTTTTGTCGATCTTAATTATATTGGTATGGTCGGCTAAAAAACGACCTCTCGATTAATACTGTATGCCTAATACTAAAGTTTATAAAAAAGTGAGTTCACGAATTTTAAAGAGTTGATATAATTATATACAGTTTACTAAAACATTTATGGAAATAGAGGTAAAAATAACAAAAATATATAGTCTGTCCAACGAGAAGATCCTTGACAGTGATAGATGTGTCTGTCATTTTAATTTCAAAGTAGTTTATTTTATTTTACAATGAAATAAGTTGGTACAACTGGAACGCATAGCAGGAAATTAATATATTTAAAATTTGACTGACAACTGATTACTTCAAAATATTGTAAAAAAAACTGTATAAAACTGAAAAAATGTAATCGAGTTATTTTATTTAATAAAAAAAACGGTATGTGTTAATACAAAACAAACAGGAACAAGACACCACATACCAAAAAAATATAAAAAAGAACTATTTCTTACTTTCAAGCTTTATGAAACTTCCTACATTTATGATTATTTTTATCAATATAACTTATGTACAAATACAAATTTGTAATATCCCACAGGAATAAATAAAACAACATAAATAAAAGAAACTATTTTATTAATAATAACACTTACCATAAATATTTTATACCTTAAAGGTCGATTAATTAACTTTAATCTTAATTTTTTTAAACCAGTACCTTTTGACATTATTTTTCTGCAGTACTAAAATCCATTATTTACTTATCGTGCGATGTCGATATTTTACAGCTACTCCGGTTTTTAGTACCTATATGTTTAGTATGGTCCTTCTACCATATTCGAGATGCATTTATCTACGGCGAGATGGTATACGAACTTTATTGATGGTAACTTTATTGGTGTATAAGACTTTCTGCCTGGGCAGCGATTATTAACCATAAACTGTGCTTTGGGTCTACAATTAATTTTCACTCGATTTTTCCTCCACTTGACTCCAAAAGACACAAAACACACGTAATAACACGAATCAAAATGCATCATCTTCCAAACCGCCAATAAAATATAAAAAGTTGACACAAAATTATAACCTATAATTTGGCAAGACTTTGACAAGCGTCAAAAATCTAAAGATCTAAAGGCTAGTTCATACGCATCGGTGTCCGTTTGTTGTTCATCGTTCCGTCAAACCAATAAAATTGAAATACGATCTGTCATTTTTGAAATAAACCAATTAAACTGGTTAAAAACAACAAGAGACGACGCATGACGGATTTATATTTAAACCCATCCATAGTTAGCTTAAAAATTACTAGAAACTTTTTTTAGTAAAATAAGTAGATTGGTATGGGACGTCATCTGCTTTTCTTCTGTCATCGTCTGTCGAAATCTTACTTGAGAAAAAAAAACAGAGTATAGCTCTTTAGATTTGAAAAAAAATATGAATTGATCGTGATCAGTTATTTCGCTCTTAAAAATTAACCAAAGTATGTAATAACATGAATAAAAAAATGGTCAGGAGACATGGTTCTGACCGGAAAATTATTTTAATTTATAAACAACCCCTCGATTAACCCTGTATAATATGTCAAATACTAAAGTTTATAAAAAACTGAGTTTACGAATTAAAGTTGATAATTATATACAGCTTGCTAAAAAAATCATAAAAATAAGGCCAAAAGTAACAAAAATATAACACTTTAAATTTGACCAAAAATTTCTCCGTTGCGTTTTTTTTGCATCTGAGTGTATAATAATCAAACAAAAATCAGTATTCTCTGGCCTCGTATAAAAACTATAAAAATATTGTTTTCTGTTCAGAATATCACGTTTATGTTTGTCTAATTTACCTATACGTTCTATCCTTTTGATCCTTTTGCGACTATGCTATGGAAGAATTAACCATAATGGTACTCTACTGAATTGTTAACATTGTTAACAAGTTTTAATAAACAAAAGTATTAATTAAACCTACTACAGCAAACAAGTAGTGCTGTTGTTAAAAAAAAGTCATTGTTTAGAATTTAATTAATTCTTTTTCTGTTAATTTTACTTATTTATTACTCAAAAAACCGCTAGATTAGCGGGAAAACCGCTAAGCTGACAACACTTCTTAAGAAATTAATCAAATGAGCTGAAATCACTGCACTATTGCCAGACTTATAAATATTGGAATACCTACAACGGATTGGACCCGATATACCATCCGATCCGGCCGGAATTCCGGCATCCGGTCCGGTTAGTGGCCGGATTTTCTGTTCCGGCCGGATCGGCCAAATACCCGATCCGGTACATCCCTAGAGTTAAGTGACAAGAATGTGGTTCAATGGTCGCAAGCACTTGGTGGTTTTTCCAAACAAGCCTCTACTTGGCGTGAAAATGAAAGTGATTTTTAGATGGTAAATAATAATTCGAATAAGTTGTTAATAAGGGGTTTCAACAGTTGAAATGACAGTGCTATCTTATTTTTAACATATTTGCACTTGGCAGGATTTGCAGTTAGACGGCTTAAATAGTGTTCTAGATTTAAATTTCATTAGTTTTTGGAACATTTAGATATTTAGAGAGTTATTTGCATATAGTAGAAACTTTATTTAGTTTTTATAACAGAGAAGACTTAATTGATGGATGGAAAAACTAGAGACTCTAAGTGCCAAAATCATACTTTTACTGAAGAGGCAAACTCTTTCCACGTTAAGAAGTTTTTGAAGTTGGGAGCTAATTAAAGCCAAACCAAAGCATTTATGAAGATAGATCCAGGCAGAATTCCTTTGACCTTTCGCTTCATCTCAGAGGATTAAATTGGTAAAATAAGATGTTGTCAGTTGTGATTTAACTTGAGAGCAAACAATGTTTCTGTTAAACAAGCAGGGATGGTTTAAAAGCATATTTTTAGTTTGTTACTTTTAATTCAACTCAATTTTTGTACACTAAGAGACGTGTATTGTAACGCCGTGACGTGATAAATTACCATGAAAAAAAATTCTATTTATGTGGGGTTGTTCACCACATACGACACGAAGTTTTGTAGCTAAACGATTAGATTTTTGCAAATTGTAAGTTTTGGTTTCGTTGAAGGACTATTAGAGCGACAATTTAAAATTATTTTTACAAGATACAGAGTGTCCCAAATAAATAAAAAATATCCAAGTTGTACTTTTTTTAAATAGAACACCCTGTATATTATTACATTTTTAGTTTCTACGATTAAAATAAAGGCAAATTAATAAAAATGTAATAATATACAGGGTGTTTCATTTAAAAAAAAAATCAACTTTGATATTTTTTATTTATTTGGGACGCTCTGTATCTTTTAAAAATATTTTTAAGTTGTAGCTCTAATAGGCCTTAAACGAGTTCAAGTTATAAACTTGCAATTTGTAAAAATCTAATCGTTTAGCTACAATACCTCGTGTCGTATGTGGTGAACAACGCTGTAGTATGTTTTGCTAAAATTTTGCACGGTTATTATTAATCATAAATTTTAAGTTTGAACAGTAGTGGACATAGGGGCAACAGCCTCTTGCAGTATCTTTTTATTCCCGTTTTAGAAATCACTTATACAATAGTTCTAGTATTTTCATTTGAAATAAATTCCAAAAAAGCCAACGTAACCAACTAGCAGTTCTTATCTAACTTTTTTAAATGGGTAAAAAATGATAAAATCTTTCTTCCCCTTCTTGTTTTCTGGAGTAAAATAGTCATTTTTTATATACAACATTCTTTTTTGGTGCCATAATTCTCACCCTCATTTAATACTGTTTTAAATATAACTCTCTGAATTAATTGTATATTGTTATTTTAATGTATACAGGGTCCGGCAGTAGTTCGTCGGGCATCTGTAGCTCTTAGAATAAAAAAAAAATGGAAATTTTGTTTAAGTGCTAAGCTAAAGTATGTTCTAGAATGTATTTCAGGAAAATATTTTAACTTCTATAGGGTGGCTCAAAAAAAGTGTGAGTGGATCGGGATAATTTTTTTAAAACGGAACACCCTGTATATAATTGAATTTCTTTTCAGATCACTACATAATCCTAAGATATGAGTAGATATATATTTCGATAGTTTCAGAGACATTAAATAAATAAAAAATATATATTTTTCAGCCTTTCTTTAAAAAAAAATATTAAAAATACAAGAACTGTCCTGAAATCAAAACTATATTATGTATTTACGTTAGATGGTCTGTACTTACTTTGCTATAAATATCGTAATCTTAAATCATACAGGATGTTCAAAATTCTACGCCAAACTTTCAAAAATATAAAATAAATTTTCTTCGTTTTATTAAATGGAATTATTTTTTTAGTAACTGGAGAAATGAACATTTTCTGTATTTAGAGTATTTCAAAATTTTTAACGGTTTTGCAGATATTCGCGGTTTTATATTTCATATGGCCTTTTCCATAGTAAACTTTTATCAAAGCCACCCAATGACTTTTCTCTCGTATTTTACCGTTGACAGACTTTTACTTACCGTTGAAATAATACCGCGAGTAGCTACGAAGCCGTTAAAAATTTTTAAATACTCTAAATACAAAAAATGTTTATTTTATAATTCCCTATCTATTAAAAGAATAATATACAGGGTGTTTCATTTAAAAAAAATAATTGAACACCCTGTACGATTTAAGATTACGATATTTATAGCAGAGTAAGTACAGACCATCATATAAACACCTAATATAGTTTTGATTTCAGGACAGTTCTTGTATTTTTAATATTTTTTTTTAAATACTAAAAAAATATATTCTTTTATTTATTTATTAATATCTCTGAAACTATCAAAACTTATTTAAAAATATCTTAAGATTATGTAAGGTGATAAGAAAGGAAGCCAAAAATTTAATAATATACAAGGTGTTCCATTTAAAAAATCATCCTGGTCCACTCACTTTTTTGAGTCACACTGTAGAGGTTAAATTATTATCCTGAAATACATCCTGGTACATACTTTAGTATTTACTTAAACAAAATTGCTAAGTTTTTTAATTTAGGGGCTACAGATGCTCGACGCACTATTGCCGGATCCTGTATATTAATGACTTCTATCTCGTCTTCGCCTATTAGATTTAGTGACAAAGCGTTCTTTAACTTTATCATTTTTTCACTTTTCCCCCTGGCTATGAGATAAATTTCAAAACTTTGAGTCTTCGAAAATTTTAAATTAAATTTCCATCAAAGGAAAGCGGTTCTGGTAATCTAACAACCATATTAGCTCTTGAATTTTTCTTTATTTCTGTTTCTCGTTTCACCACAATAAGACACTGATTTGCCAGGCAATTTTCTCTGTTTTGCCACTTAAAGGTTCGGTACCTCACATGTACAGAGTGGGCCAAATTCGACGCTTTTAAATGGAAACACCCTTTTCTTTGGGAGATAGACGAAAACTAATATCGGTGTCTGGAGCTCAAGTTTCATCAAAAACATTATGGTGAAAACCGCACATCAATATCTGTTACCGTTTCGGAGTTAGGGGTGTTTTTTAAAAATGTGCATTTTTAACAAATCCCTGTAACTCTTTTGCTATGGAAAATTTTGTATTTCTATGAAAACATTTCCAAAGCACCTTTTTACGTAGAATTTAATGGTTTAAGTATAATTTTTTTAAAATTAATAATTTAAGAGTTATCAACAGAAAAATTGATTTTTTATTTGGGACACCCTCTATATTTTTAATTAATTGAAAAGAATTTAAAATTAAAAAATTAATGAAAATGGACATGGATGTATTTGAAATTGAGCAGGGGAAATGCTCTGTATGTGGTCTTGAGGGAGATTTGACTGACATTCAAAACCATTTTGAAGAACATATCAGCAGAGATTTAACTGGAGAATTGGATGAAGAATATGAAGAATCTACTTCATATGAAAATAGTTTAGTTGACGAGCTTGATAAACAACAATCAGGTTAGAAACTTAGAAAGGCACTCTTATATAAATTTAAACTACTTTTCCATCTATTTCAGCTTCTAGTGGTGCAAGATGGACAGATAATAGCATTAAGCTATTATTGTCATTATATTCTGACCATTTGCGCTACTTTAAATCGGGCAAAAAAAGCACCAAGACAGTTTGGCAGATGGTGACAAAAAAAATTTCTGAAAAGGGATATAACTTCACTAGCGACCAGTGCGATTTAAAGTTTAGGAATCTTAAAAAAACATACAAAAGAATAAAGGACAACAACAACCGAAGTGGAGCAGGGTCAATTAATTGGCCATATTTTAATAAATTTGAAGACATTTTTGGCAAGGATGCTGATGTAAGGCCTCTTTGCCTAGCTAGTAATGTAAATGGTGTTGTAAAGCCACAAAGCTCTACTGAAGGTGAAGGCTCAATGGATTCCTGTACTACAGAGGTAATTTTATAAATTTACAATATATTTCTCTCATGCATATTGATCCATGTAGAAATGCTAATTTGTATAATCTTTTTAATGTAATTTGTGTACTTAAATATATTAACCAGAATTTTTTTAGACTCCAAAAAGTACCCGTAAGCGGGTGTTAAATGAGCAGGAGCCACAATGGTTAAAAAAATATAGAATTGAAGCAGCGGAAAGGCACAAAGAAAAAATTGCAATAATCAAACAACTTATAGATGTGCTTAAAGAAAAATAAATTTTATTCATTAATAAGTAAACTAGCAATATAATTTCGTTTAGCTAAACCTGTATTATCAATTCTACCTGCACTGTAAGCTTCAGCCATTTGTAGCTCATCCGGATCATATATTGGCTCAACCATATCATTTTTTTGCATGCAAATGTTGTGAAGTACACAGCAAGCTAAAACTAGTGGTGGAATCAATTCTGTTCTATATATATTTACATGTTTTAAAATTCTGAAGCGGCCTTTTAACAAACCAAATGACTGTTCAATACAAACTCTCGTAGATGAATGTTTAAAATTATAGTTTTTTTGGATTTGGGTTAGATGACCATTATCACGGTATGGTGTCAAAACATAATTTGTATTTTTGTATGCCGAATCTCTTAAAATATGGCTATTAGCAGGAAATAGCATATTTGGATTTTCCTCTATCATTTGACCTAAGTCTGAATTACGGAATACCCTTGCATCGTGTGTGCTTCCAGGATAACCTTAAAAAAGTTACTGATAAATAAAAAAATACTGTTAAAAGCTTAATTATTCCACCTATAAAAACATCTGTAAAAATATAATTTGCGTTGCAAACGGCTTGAAGAATTATGGAATGATACTTATTCCTGTTGCAATACACATTTTGCTCTCTAGAGGGTGGAGATATCGGAATATCAGTGCCGTCTATTGCTCCTAAAACATTCATAAAACCCTGCTTTCTCCTAAATTCCCTCATAGTTTTAATTGCTTCTGCTTCTCTAGGCCACTTTATAAAATTACCAGAATGGTTTGACAGAAGAAAGCATACCTTGTGAACATAAGACCAGGCAGTTGATTTTGAAATATCAAATCGTTCAGAAATACTTCTATAAAATTTATCTCAATGTAATGAATATATTAAATTAACATAAATTTTTACTAACCTAAACACTTCTTGGTTTGCCAACATACATAAAGAAACCAGTAATTGTTTCTCTGGAGTTTCCGTAGGTCTTCCTACTCCAGTTCTACCTTTTGTTTTAAGGTACGGTGCTAATATATTTAAAAGAAACTCAAATGTTTCCCTACGTAACCGAAAGTGGCTCTTGAAATCTGAAAAAAAATCATGATAACTCATACATTATTAATGCTGTTATTTACTTACCGTCTGGACTATATATTAATGCTATATTTGTTATATAATTAGCAACTGCCAACCTTCTCTTTTTTCTTACAAGATTAATGTTAATTAAAATTTCTTCATCACTGTCACTTTCCAATAATAATAGTGCAGTTGACGCAATATTAATTTTCATCTTTTTATCCATCTTATAGGCTTAAGGTTGTTGCACAAAATCAAATTTGATCAATAATTATTAACATATCAGAGGAATATTTTCTCTATGTTATTATTATATTAATTAGTATTAGAAAATCAATGACTAAATTTGAATAAATTTAATCTTAAGATTTAACCAGTTCGTTTTAAAAATATTCTACCAGATTCATATTTGACATAAAACATATGTTTACCGCTGGGTAACGGTAAATACCGAAGGTATAATTTTCGTAAACGCCTATTGGTATTTTAAAGGTTGCCTTAGGCAACTCCGCCATTTCAATACGATTTATCTTTTCGTGCGTTAAGGACGAATCGAATGAAATATCAGAAACAACAATATACTGCGAATTTCGTTAAAAAAAACTGTATCTGTTAGGGTTGTAAGCTAATTTTCCTGATAGATTTCGTATATTTGTCTCAAACTTAAAAAAAAAAAAGTTAGGTTAACCAAGTAAACTATAATTTTAAAATTAAAACTAGGAAATAAAAAAGGGGTTTTGCCATATTTCGAAGTATCATGGTCACTTTCAACAGTAAACTAATCTTCGTTGATGAATTTCAATTGCCGACATCTCAAAACCATCACTAGTTCCCAGTCACCACTAATTTTTGAAACTTTGTTCTAAGACTAAAGATTATGCCAGTTCAATGCTAGTATTTAAAATAATTCAATTATAAATAGCTTACACTGAGCAATTCTCCAGTTTTAGATCAATATTGTAGATAAATACAAAAAATAAAGGTCCTATTTTGAAAGCTCGCGCTAGCGCCTTTGATAGGTAAAATTTCGCCCAAGAGAATACCTGGAAATCGATGCAAGGTCGTTACGCGGACACGCCGTTTTGCTTTTTCTAGGCTGGAAGGCCAGAAACATCTTTTCATTCCTCCATGACCTCGAATTTGAATGTCCATTCTGTTTCATTAGCTATGGGTTCACGTCAACTTGTGCGTCGAACCACACACCTCGGCAATATGCTCGGCTTCAGAAGCTCGCCACTTAACAACATGTTGACCAACCAACACAAACGATTGCATCATTCAACATGTTGTCCAGCATACTCTCTAATGAGTGTGCTTTAGGATGCTGTGGTTTAGGGTTTTGCCTGTCTCAATAATACAGTATAATCTCGTTTGGGTCTAAGTCAACCCCTTCGTATTCTTCACTTTCTCTAGAAGACGTAGATACTTTGATGAAATATATAATCACTGTCAGTATTTATATATTTTTCTTTTTAGGGATAAACAAGTTTAAGGTGTTCGGCATGTGTGGTCCATTTAAACGATTTCATCTCTTGTGTGTTTTGTATCATAATTTTCAATACCTATGAAATAACACTCTTCTATGTGCTTCTATGTACTGATACTTTTTTACAATCTATCTGATAGTGGCATACCTTTTAAAACTATATATTTTTTTCAATGAATAGTTTTGATTAAAATCCAGTCTGTTTGAGGGGAAGATTTTGAATTGAGTAGGGACCATCCTTAACCTCATACGGAACGATTGCAATCAACTAACTTCATTTAGAAACTATCTTAAATATATAAAAAAATATATTCCAAAAAGGTATGATATTATCAGATAAAGACATTTTGGTTAAAATGCAGCATGTTTAAGGGAATGATTTTTTATCGGATCATTCTTAACGTTATATTGAACTATTACTATCAGGTAGCTCTTAAACATCGAAGTACTATTTGCAGAAATTTTGTGTTTGTAACATGTAGAAAATATTACTTTTATGTACTTTGTCAGAGACTAAATATTTAAAAAATTTTTTGTTTCGTTTCTTTGACCTGTATACTATATATAATATAATAATATAATAATAATATGAAAAAGACATATACTGTCGAAACGTCGTCACAAAATAAAAAAATAATGAACGAAATCTAGAAACATCTTTGCAACCCCAACGACCTAAAGCCAAGAGTGAAAACAAAAAAATATTTAAAAAATATATATTTATCTGAAAGGCATGTAACTGTCATAAGGACTGCACAATAATAACTTTGGTTAAAATCCAGTCCGTTTGAGGGGATGATACTGAATTGAGTAGGGCTCATCCTTAACCTCCTACGGAACGATTACAATCAAGTAACTTAATCAATATGTGCTTTAGCAGTGTCTAAATATATAAAAAAAAATATTTCATAAAATGTGATATTATCAGATGATGGTACAAGAATAATTTTGGTTAGACTATCCTTAAAACATTATAAACAAATATTTTTTACCGTATTGATTTGGTAAAATTATCGCTTAACTTGTTTGCCATGACGATGGAGCGGTTTTTTTGGTGTCGTTGCTTTAGTGTCATTTATCCGTACTGACGTCTGGAATGTTTTTTTTTTGGTGTAGTTGCTTTGGAGTCATCAGTTCCTGTTTCAGCATCATGTTTACATTTTTTGAAATTAGGGTATGTTTGTTCTTCAAGCAGTTTATAATCTAGAGGTACGCTGGTGTAGAAATTATCGACTAACAACATTTAAGTCATTTAAGTTTTTTTTGGTCCTATCAACATTTAAGTTTACACCAACATAAATTGAGACGTTCCATGGTATAACCCTTATCGGTACATAGTTTATATAATTTTATGTCGTACCGATGTCTCTTCGATGGGATGTATTGACGTAAACAAAGACGGCCTCCAAACAACAACATTTATTTCCTGATATAAAGGCGCTTTTGAAATTTGTTAGAAATTTATCGAAAACCATTTCCAGTTTAAGGTTGATTCCTAACCTTCCATATCAGTTCCCTTCCTTTTCCCTTCAGTTTACATAAAATATTATATGATGTAAATGAATAGGACAATGTACACTATACGTTCCGTTTCCCTTCCGTTCCATATCCTTTCCTTCCATACATTTTTTGGCGGACGGACTGAAGCGTATCGGAAACAGCGTTGTCAAGTTCTTACATTTGTACCAGCTCTCTTAAAATTTTGCTGATATTTATTCATCGTTTCACCTTGCAATTAAATCTATTACCTTTTTCAAAAGATACAAATGTTTAAAATAAAACTTTCGTAATGGAAGCTTATGTATAGCGTCAATATAATAAAAATCCGGAACGGATATGGAATGGAAACGGAAGGTATAGTGAGAATCAGCCTTTATGAATGCGATTTCCAGGATTTGCGTGGTCTTTATCCGCAAAGTGCCAAAAATCTCAGAAGCATATCGAAACAGTTTCGTGGCATGATGTTTTGAGATAGCTCAAAGGAAATTATTTTACTTGCAGATCAATAGTTGTTAAGCTCCGGAACTTTTACGATGCCTATGTATCCCAGTAATTCAATAACCTGTTTCATTTCATTTATATTAGGTTAGTTGGTGCCCATTGATGTAAACGAGAAAAGGGGTAATATCATTTTGTTTCTCCATTGGTTGGATTACGTATAAATTGGTTTCATTAACCATAATTGGTATTATGTCGTTTGTCAAAAAAACGAATTAAATTAAAGTTACAGTCATTACAGTCATTGGTCACTTAAGCAATGCTTGTTTGATTAATAGTTTAAAATAAATCTTCATCTTAAAAAATTCAAACTTTATTTGTTTTACAACATGCCTCACTTATTAAGGTACAAGTAGAAATAAAAAAAATAGGTAAAACATTATTAAAAGAAAACTGGAAAGTTTACCAAATACACAGTCATTGGCCACTGAGATCATAGATATTGGGCACCAGGTAAATACGTATATCTAAATGCATATAAGGTACTTAAATCGTAGAAAAGATTTGCGTTTAACTAATACTAGGCTAGTTACTCACAGACTACTAGTATTAAATAATAAAAAATCTCTAAAATAAACAAAAATATCTTCGAACATCACAAAAGGACATCAGTAAGAGTACCTATAGTTACTTACATGCTACTGGTACTGGCACTAAATAATATAAACTATCTGAAAACAACAAAATAATATATAAAAAATATCCTTAAATATAAAAAATAAAAACAAGATTTTGGTATCTATTACACTTAAATAGTAGTAGGAAACTCCGTCTCACTTAGACATTTTGTACATATAAACTTATCAGAAATTAATGGACGATCAGAACATTTTTAAGACAAATGTAGTGGAATACTCGAGTACAACTATAACAACGTATACCATCGTTTTTTACAGTTATATTAAACAAACAGCAGTAACATAAACCTGTACAAACCCTTGCATTAACAAAGTAATTAGGAATATTCGGAGATTTAATGCATACATCGGAAATTACCTTTATTTTTTTAGGATTTTCCTCTGCAAATAATTTTCTTTTAGTGGAATCAGGTATGTGAAAATAGCTTATAGGTGAAGAGTCATTTTCGGTATAAGGCACTATCGGTGTTAGTGAAGAGCATATGGTGGACATGTTTTCTGTTAAACAATTTTGTTTAGAAGAGCTGGAACCTATGGGATGAATTACCTTCAGGCCTTCTGAACTTTTCTTTTTTTTAGCTGAAGAGCTATTTTCCGGCAAATGTATCCTTACCCTGTTTTTTGTAAGAGTTTCTTTTATAGGATTTATGGAATTTTTCTTAATCTTTTCTTTTGAATCCAGGTTTTTTAATATAACTGGAATTTGACTTGTTGAACATGAATCAATTTTATTCTGTTCTTCAACAAAGTTATTATTAGTGATATTTTCTTCCAGAAATGGTTTGTTAACGTTTTTATCTTTTTTTACTATTTTGGAATTTTTTTTCATAGTTGTCTTTTTAATCATGTTTTCTTTAGACTCTTTTTTTAGATTCTGTTTTTTATGCGTTCTTCCTTCCGCCTCGTCTTTTCCTTCAGTTCATACTCTTTTCTTTCTATTTTTGCCTTTTCGACATTTTTTCGAACCGTTGATATTAAAACAAATGGAAGTTTTTCATTTTGTCTCTTGCCCTTCCTTTCTGGTGTCTTTGGCCAGAAAAAATATTTGCTTAAGGATGTAGTTTGCTTCACTTAATGCGAACATGTTGTTTTTCACCATCGCAATAACGTCAAAATTATTGGATGCTACTTATATTACTTGTCCACTAGATGGAATTTCATCCATTACGACATTCGGAACTATTCATTCCATTCAGTTCTTCCAAAATTATCGCTACACCCTACACCCCATTCTCCAGGAACAGAATTAGATACTTG